TGCCAGTGCTCCACATGCCAACCCAGATGCATCCCAGCTCACACCTTCCACGTCACAGGGCCGAGGCCCACAGACCAGGAGTGGCCTGGGACCCACAGCAGCTGCCTTGCATAGCACACCTGTGCCAAGTTCTGCGCTGACAGGCTTCTTCCCAGGCTGGGACCCGCCAGTGTCACCACCTCACCATCCAGATGTTTACAATGGCAAGTGCCGGGGTCACAGCAGCCCGGCCCCCCTGCCCCATGTGGGGTGACTTTCACAGCTGCTACGTTTGCCGCGTTTGGCTTCTCTTGTGCCTGACCAGTGTGTGTTGATGTGGGGGGATTTTTGTTCCCTCGCAAAGGTCTCTAGAGCACACCTAAAGCAGGTCAGTGGTGGGATGGAGAGTTGGTCTGGGGAGGCTTGGCGCGGCTCATCAGCTGAGCCTCAGTCTCTCAGGTGGGCATTCACTGAGCATTCCTTCCAACAGCTAGCAAGGGGAAAGCTTCCCCATGCAGATTCTGGGGCCTTCCCACTAGAACTTCAGCTTCTTCAGGGTTACTAATAGCTGTCTACCATTCCAACAAGCTAGAAAGGAATATGCTGGGAAAGAGAAGAGAAGCCACAGGGTTGCACTTGCTGGCTTAGGTGCCTACATCTTTCTAGGGATCTGTATGCGATTGGCTCATCTTCCTCATCATTGTATTCCCAACACCTCACACAGCCTGTGGGAAAGAGGGGGCTCTCCCAGACTGTGGGGCCTCCTAACCTGGTAGACAGCTCTGCAGAGCAACACCCAAGGAAAGAAAATGGCACCCCCCTTTTCAGGTGGAGGCAGCCCCATCACATCTGGCAGGGAAGCAATCTGGCTGTCAGCACCCAAGCACAGTCTGTCTCCCACATGAGCATGTCTATAAGTGGAATGCCTACAGAGGGGAGGGAGAGGCACCATGGCTTTCCAAACCATTTGGCCTGCAAATGCCAAGGAAGCAGCCTGTCCCAGAGTTTCACCGACTGGATTTCATACAGTGAGCTGGGCCTTTTGGAACCCCCAGTCCCAGACCAGATAGCATGACCCCTGTCATTTAAAGGTTTCTTGGTCTGCTCTGGAGACATGGACAGAAAGCCAGGGGAAGGAACCTGCCCTGGGTCCTGGTGACCCTGAGACTCCTACATGGCTTTAACCAGAAGCTCCTACAACAGCCCTGCTCCCGCACAGGTGGCAAAAAGCAGAGACACAGTCTGAGGGATCCCTGGGGGAGCACTGCAGCCTCTGGCCCCTCCCCAGGGCTCCCGATATGGGGTCCAGGGCCCACCCCAGTGCAGCAGAGCAGAGAGCCTACGCACCTCGGGAGCATTGACTGCACCCGCCTCCCAGGGATGCAGCCAGGACTAAGTGCTGCGCCAGTCCAGGGTGTCAGTACCATCACTGTGACACCCATCCCTGGCCTCCATGGCACACACACTTTTAGACTCCCACAAACCCCAAGCATGCCCACCAGGGACCCGCAGCTGAGTCGCTTGTCCCTGGCACCCTCTGGCTTCTCTCATGTTCCCAGAGGCTGAGCTCTCCCTAGCTTGAGTCCTCACTCACAGGTGGCCCCTCAAACCCTCCACACTGCGGGGCATTTGTTTGAGTCATTTTCCATTTGAGCCCATCTTCGTCTCCACACCTCAAGGACATAACTCTTGACTTTAAGAGGGACCTGAAAGCACAGGAAGTGGGTGAGGGTGAGCTGGCCCAGAGGCCCTTACCACAGAGAGCCAGGTCTGCCAACCTCCCAGGCTGCCCCTGCACATGCCCCCACAGGGAAATCTCCAAAGGTGTGGGCTTCAAGGAAGGGGACTCCTCTACAGCCGAGAGCACAAGGACCATGGCAGACCTACCTCCTTCCTTCGGCACACCCTGGTTCCGTGCATAAGAAAATACTCGACTTAACTCAAAAAACTTACCACATGCCAGTGCCATGTGGGCCACTGGTCCTGGGCCTTCAGGATACAGAAATGAATTAAGAAATTCTCAGTATCTGCTTTTGCAGAGCTTATATTCCAGCCCCATGGCACTTTTCTGGGCACTGACCCCAGAGTGTGACACATCAGTAGGCTCTATCATGATATTCCACTCACAGCCTGCCTAATATTTATTGCCAACATATAGAGAGGTGGTGTCCAGCCTGGGAGGTGACAACCCCTAACAAGAGAGTGCCCTGCCACTGGTTCAGCACCAACCCCCACTGTATATGTTTCTTTCTTCTTCCATCTTTCTCCACATTCCACCTCTCTTGACTTCCTCTATTTTTCTAAACTACTTTCTCTTTTTCTATCTTCTGTCCTCCTTTCTTTCCTGATCACTCTTAAAGCCCCTGGACTCATAGTAGAGAGGCTGCTGACCCCAGCACATCCATTTCTGAGATATTTTTCGAGGGCAGGGGTTTGCAAAGTATCTTTCTACCAGAGCCAGGCACCCACAGGGAAGGTCCTATTGGCCATGGATTCCTGGGAATATGCTCCAAAGGAAAGGGACTGGGGAGATGTCCCCATAGGCCTGGCTGACCCACCACACAAGGACACAAGGTATATGCTAACTGTCCCAGAAGAACTCTAATGAGAAGAGATGCCAATATGTAAGGACTTCCCACCAAGCTTTCTCCATGGCAGCCCCAGAGTCCATGTGATAAAGGCTGCCCTTAGGCTCACCCCACCTCTCATCCCACTTTCAGGAGCTCAGGGCCCAGGAGCCTGCAGTGCCCACAGAGGACACACCTCCAAATATATATTTTATAATATAATATATATAATTTATAAAACACATATTATATTTTATAATAATATATATATATATTATAAATATGTAGAGAAACAAATCAAATCATAATGTACCTCTTTTACTTTATTCACTATGAAGCACACTTTCTCTTGCATAGTTCACTTCAAACTAACTGGATGTGTCACTTAAGTGGAGAAAGGATAGATATCGTGAATATTTTAAAGACTATATAAAAATAAATTTACAATACAAAAAATGAAAAGTAAACTAAAAAAAGAAAAATCTATAAAAGATGTTTTACTCAAAATCACTTCTTTATCATATACCATTCCAAAAGGATTATATTTAAGAGATTATATGTGAGTCAAAGTATGGGAGAAAACTAACAATCCTTTAGATCTGATTTTAATTTTTGAGTTTATTTCTTGAGCAGTTTTATCTATTTGTAAAGATTGATATTACTTGACTTTTATTCTTTATTATTAGAGGTTTTCCAAAGAAAAAAGAAGTAATTGCTTATTTTTCTTAAAGGAATGAAACTCAATCTATATTGTAATTACCATATGCATCCATTGGACTCTCTTAGGCATTAAGTTACAGTTGGGGATCTTAGGATTCTTATTTTTCCCATGTCGTGAAACATATTTGCTATTTCATCATTACTCATGAATTATTCTGAAGGATACTAAAAACAAAGGAGGATGATGGAATGACCTAGAATAATGGTGTAATCCTGAAATAAATCATCACAATTGCATCATCCATTTTCCTATTGCATTGGCAAGAGCATGCATCACCTTTAAGGAGGCATAAAAGAAGACTGTAGACACCATCTTTGTAGCTTGTACTGAACACAGTTGAAGATTCATAATTTTTCAGTTTCTGTCTTTAATGGCAAAGAGAAAAAGTAAAGGAAGATGTTTCATAATTCTTGGATGAATCAGAAGATGAAGGCAGAGACAACAGAACTTGGCTCTAATTGCAACAGTGAACTTGATCATACAAATGAAATCTCAGACGCCAAGTCTTCAGATATAAACACCCTCAGCAAATATTCTCAAACCTAAAATTTGATGGCACATGATATATTTCTATGGACCAAAGGGAAATATGGTGTTCTCCTTCAGTCATTCCACCAGGAAGACTTCAGCTCACATTTTGTCACGAGATCCTGGATCATTGTTGAGTGGCTGTCTGGCAGTGTTCCTTCATCTTTTAAGGTGTTGATGCCCTGGGAATCTACTTGAGTAGACAGATGTTGAAGGCAGGTGGGTACAGAAAAGTGACTGGGAGGAAACAGAAACTTGCTGGGCTGACCAAGTTCATTGGTTTATAATCTAAAAATGAAAATATTTTGCAATTAGGAAGGAAAGAATATGGCCATCTGCCCTTCATCAAAATTATCAAAGCCTTCAATTTTTTTCTTGTGTTTTTAACAATACAAGTGCAGAAGAAGAAGAAGAAGCAATGATAACTGGAACTTATTAGAGATTGGAAGTCTGAGTCAGTATTTACAAGACAGCTGTTGCAGAATTATGCATGAGAGCTGATGAGCAGTTGCATCCAAAGGGTGTTGCTCACTTCATATATGTATAGGCCTAAAATCAGGAAAACTGGAAGAAAAATTTGGACTTTTTGTGTTCAGTTCTAGTGTCTAAATTTCTATCTGAGTTCCTAATTTTTCACTCTTCTACAAATTATTTATACAATAACCGAAAAGTATTTTTTAATGTTTCCATCAGATACAGTTGGTAAGCAGGAATGACTCTTTTTCCTGGTACACTGAGTGCAGTATAGGTAGAAATTTCCCAAAATGTGTTCTGCAACACACTGAATGGTCAAATATGTTTGAGAAATATGGGATAAAACACAGTTAAGTTTTTAACTGCAGGGTTCTCTGAGCCTTTAACACACAACATATCAAAATTGGTTTGACCATAAAATTCTTTTGGGGACAGAATATTTCACGGGACTAGTGGTCTATGGAAGACTCTTAAAAAAACTGCCCTCAGAGATAAAAGACAGCAAACCAAACCATATTATGTATTCATTTGCTAAGATTAAATTTATGGAGACTCTCCCCTTGCGGAGGGAAGTGTCAGAAACCCAGCTCCGTGAGAGAAGCCCTGTAAGACAGCTGTGGCAAGAAAATGAGTGAGGGCCCCTAAGGATGTCCAAAGGAGCTACTGGAAAGGACAGGTGCAGAGAGGTTCCTATGCTCCCAGACAAAGGGGACTCACGAGGAATGACTTCATTGGCTTTATTTGAAAAGTAGGAACAAGATTATTCTAGAAACAGGGAATATAATCAGACCCTTGGTATTTAAAGGGTTTAACAGAAAAATGCTCTGACCCCTCAGAATCACTGAGAGTGGATGGGGAGGGGAAGGAGGGTGGAGGGAAGAAAGAAAGCAGTGGTTCCTGACCCTCAAGGGAGAGGAGATACCTTTTTTTTAGTTCATTGTTTGACACAGAGTCCTGGGCCCCTGCCACTTGTATTGGACAAACCACCTCTGAGACTGGGGTGTCTCCCCTGCAAAGGTCCTGCAGCAGGGATGGCAGCCCTCATCATTGGTCCTGAGCTCAACTTCCCTACCCTGTCTACCAGCAACCAGCTGCCTCCACAGCCCATCAGCAGCCCTGCCCACAGGCCCCTTACCTCATACAACAGAAAAATTGCCCCTGAGCTGCAAAGGCCAAGACCACACTCATTCCTTGAATCCTACCCTTCTCCTCAAGGACACACCCCCTCCCCCATTAATCCTTTTCTCCCTTGATTCCGCAGCCCTCCAGCAAACCACACATCCAAGCTTCCTTTCAGAGACAAACTTCTCCAAAGAGTTTTCTGGACTCACCCTCACTACCTCCTGGTGCCCCCAGCAAACTTTCACCTCCACCTCCTTCCTGAAACAGGTCACCAAAGACCTACCTCAAGCTTAGGTAACACTCACCTGAGTCTTCATCTTGCTCAAGCCCTCAGCAGCACTTGGGGCTGATCCCTCCCTTGTAGGAACACTCTCTTAGGTGACTTCTGCAATCCCACCTCTGCCTGGTATTCCTCTTTCACCCCTCTCCACGTTTTTCCAGGCTCCTTTGTCTCTGCCACATCTCTAAATTTTCTCTGACTGTCGCAAAGTTCTGACATCAGCTCTTCTCTCTTCAGTATCTATTCTCTCTAGTCCCAAGATTTTAAATATCACCTATATGCTGATGCCTTTCAGATTGTATACTGTGCCTACTTCTCCCTAAAGCCCTAGACTATGAAGGCTAAATGCTTAGCTCAGCGTCTCTATTTAGGATTCAAATAGGTATCTCAAACTCAGCATGATAAAAACATAAACCTCAATCCCAGCTCAGCTCCCTGAGCCTCTTCCTCTCAATAAATCATACCAGTTGCATAAACTGCAAACCCAAGGGTCACATTTAACCCCTCTTCCTCATCTCACAGGCCTCCCTCAACATCTAATCCAAGAGTAGAGCCTGTAGGGTTTCCCAAATATATCCTGAAACTGAGAGCTTCTCATCATCTGCCCAGACACCACCCTATTTCTAGTGATGTGATCTGTGACCTGGACCCCTGTACCCCATCCAAACAGGCCTCAATGCCACCATTGGTCTTGGCCCCCTAGAGTTTATCTTCAGACAGCCTCCAGAGTGACCTTCCATCACATGAATTAGATCACACCACCCCGTATTAGTTTCTTGTGGCTTCCATAAAAATTATCACAAACTTAGATTAGAACAACAGAAATTCACATTCTTGCAGCTCAGAAGGCCGTAGCCCAAAATCACGGTAAAGTAGGCTTGGTTCCGTCTAGAGGCTCTGAGGGAGAGTCTACCCCACGCCTTTCTTCTGGCTGTTGAGGGTTGCTAGCAATCCTTCAGGTTCTTGGCACATAGCCACATCTCTCCAATCTCTGCCTCTGTCTTCACGTGGCCCATCCTCCATATGACCCTGTGTAGGGAGGGTAAGTACACTTTTATTGTATTGACAGCTCACTCCACTCCAGGATGATATCATCTTAATCCTTACCTTAATTATAGTACAAAAAGCCTATTTTCAAATAAGGTCACATTCTGTTCCTTCCCAATGGACATGAGTTTTGGAGGGCACTGTCCAACTTACTACATTTCCTTGCTTAAAGCTTTCCAGTGACTTCCTGTAACCAGAACATAACCCATACTCCCATAAGGTCCGCAGGATCTACAGCTTACCCACCTTTGACCTTGTTTCCCTCCTCTCTCCCTCCATTTAGCACATTCCAGTTACACTGGCCTTTTTCTCCCCCTCAAACATGCTGAGTCATTCCTCTCTCCAGGCCTTTGAACTCCTTGCTCTTTCCTCTTGAGACACCATGTTCCCCAGGCTTGCATGGCTGTCTCTTGATCATTCAGAACTTCACAAAAATGTTATATCACAAGGCCTTTTCTAACTATCTCAAAAGCAACCAACACTCCACCCCAGCCATTACCTCATTTCTCAACTTTCTCTTCTTTATAGCACTTGCCTATATGTGAAATGATTGTGTCCACTGATGAACTTGCTATCTATACCCGTAAGAAAATAAGCTCCTTGAGAGCAGAGACTTCACCTTATTTGTTTGGAGCAGTGCTTAGTGCACAGTAACTGTTTGTGTTAGAAATTGTGGATTGGCTCTCTCAACATGTATGACCTCAAAATTGCAAAATCCATCACAATGGGATGTTGCCTTCCCATAATGCAAAAGCTGGAAGGCTAAAAACCACATTTCTCAGACTCCTGCAGCTAAAGTTCTGGTTGTAATTTAAATCTCTCAAGAACCAGGCAGTCACCCAAGACTTGAATTTGAAACTGGGTTAAGCAGAGAAAGAAGTGTGGCACAAGGCATCCATTTGAGGTGTGCAGATCATAGTAGCTATAGGGAAGTTATGCAGTTAAGCATAACTTATGAGTTATGCAGCTCCCTGGTGGTGGCAGGAGAGTGGACTCATCCCTACTCAGCCTAGAGCCTGTCCTCCCAACTGTTTTGCTAGCCATTTAATGCCTTGCAATAAATCTTTCTGCTTGAAGTAACTACGGTGGCTTCTGTGCTCTACAGCTAAACACCAATCAAATCATTGCTTAATAAGTACTTGTTGACTTACTATGACATAGCATTTGGAGCACCCCAGATAAGGGTTTGTAGGTTGGGGGCTTATGATTTTACAGTGATTGCCTCTGCCATCATTGTTACTGGCTGCATTAGGTTCCAGTGGCTGCTGTAACTGATTATCATGCATTTGGTAACTTATGAATATTACACTTATTCTCTTGCAGCTCTGGAGTCCAGAAGATCAAAATCGGTATCACTGAGTCAAAATCAAGGTGTCCATAGGATCATGCTCACTGTGAGGCTCTAGGAAAAAAAATCTATTTCTTGCTTCTTCCAGCTTCCAAGTTGTGATTTAAGCCCCTCAAAAACCAGGCAATCACCCAAGACTTGAATTTGGAACTGGGTTAAATGGAGAAAAAAAGTGTGGCAGATCTATAAGTGTGGCTTATAACCACATCACTGCAGTCTCTGCCTCCACTGTAACATTTCCTTCTTGTGTGTGTATGTGTTAAATATCCCTCTTTTATAAGGGCACCTGTGATAGCATTTAGAGAGCTCCTAGATAATCCAGGATAATCTCTGCACCTGAAAATCCTTAACCTAATCACATTTGCAAAATTCTTTTTTCCAAATAAGGTAACATTTACAGGTTGTAGGGATTAGGGCCTGATATCGTTGGTGCCATTATTCAGTCTATTACAATGACCATGACAAAAACTGTATTCTGAGATTCTTCCCCATTATTCTAGGTGAATTTCATCATGTGTGCCCAAACCTTGTCCCCTCACCCTGCCTTCTCTTGAAGACTTCTTGAAAGACTTAACTAGTTTGTCCTTCTCTTGAAAAACTTACCTAATAAGGCACAGTGGGAGGGGAAGAAAGGAGTTAAGATACTATGACTATCAGACACCACCAGCCAAGGGAATGGGGAGGTGAGTGAGCCAAGCTCTGAAGAGGTGGTCTACACTCAGATGAGAACAAAAAAAATGAATAACCAAATTGCTGGAGCTTCAGCCAAATGTATTCAGCTATACCTGATAAGCCAAGAGGGAGATGAGTTCTTGATATGTCCAAGTTGGCAGACAGGTGTATCAAGCCTGACGAACTATTGGAAAAGGTTCACTTCCCAGCTGAGGACTGGTTTTCCACAACAACTACAGCCAGCCTAACCCCCCTCCCCCTTTTAAGAAAGAGTAAAGAAGGTCAAGGAGAGAAATGATAATAGGGGAGTAGGAGCAGATGACCGCCTGGACCCAGTAGGCTATTCGACAAAGATCAGGAAAAGTGAAGAGTCAAAGCAATTATCTGGATAAATTAAGCAAAAAATTAAAAAGAGGTGATGGGATTTGGGGACCTTTCCAGCCAAGGCCAGTTGTCTACACAATTCAACCCACTAGCCAATTATTCAAATTTCCCTGCACTTGCAAGAACAACAGATGGAGGCTATGGTGGCTCTAGAGGCCCATGATTATTTTACCCATCTTAATAGATATCTGACATTAAATCAAGCCATTCAATTGGATAGAAAAAAAAATTAGAGTATCAAAGCAGTGACTGCTTTGGTAATATTCAATTGAATGAAATAAAGTGGGCTCGATCTTTCTAACTGGTTGATACAATGCTGACATTAGTGCCATGTTGTTTGGCAAATTGTGCAATATTAATCCATTCATTTGATAACTATTTAATAAGTACCTGGCATATATTAAGCAGAAATGAATCTGGCTTTCAAGGAGCAAGTAGAAGAAATAGAATATATTTCTAAAAAAGCCATCTAATCTTTTCAATAACCTGTGTGTTAGTTACTCTTATTCCCATTTTTACGGATGAGCAATCTCAAGTTCACCTTAGACAGAGTTACACAGTTAGTGACAGAGCCTGGATTGAACCATATCCCTCACTGCTGAGACCCACACATTTTTTCCACATGACTCAATGGTTTCTTGAAAGCAAGGGCATTGAACTGGTCCTTCAAAGCTATGTGGGATTTGAACAAGTTCAAATGAAAAGAAGTGCACTTAATGTAGAGAGAAAAGTGGACATAGGGCCATAGTCATAATGCATGACTGGTGAATGGAGGACTGGAAGAAAGAGAAAGTTTATGAATACAAATGATGAGCTTAACTTTTTAAATATTTTTGAGTATGTCTAGGACATGCAGATAGAAAACATCAGTAGTCACTGAGAAATGCAAAATGAACCCCATAGAGAAGCTTGGGCCAGGATACTTAGATCTGGGTATACCCGCACAAAAAGGAATGATGGAAGCTATGAATTTACAAAGGCAAAGGGTCCATGAAGAGAAGAAATAAGAAATGTATAGAAGAGAATTAAGAACATTTAGGAAGTAAAAGAAAGGAATAGAAGATGAGAAAGAATGAATAGTCAGGGAAGCTACCAAAGCCAAGCATCCCAGGACCTAAAAGAGGAGAGAAGTTAAGATGGGGCTGAAACCATGACAAACTCTGGAAAAAGGTCAAGGAGAATAAGGACTGAGGACTGAAAAAAGGCAAGTAGGATGTTTTTGGTGTCCTTTAAATAATAATTTATGTTTGGGTAATGGAAAAAGGAAAAATGAGTTACCCTTTTAAAAACTCTGACATTGAAAGGGAAGAGACAGAAAAAATAGGAGAAAGAGAGAGGTAAATTTTAAAGAAAAAAGTATAGGCTGAGTTGCATAATTTAAAACATTATAAATTTCCCATTGCATCTCTCCCTTTTTCCTACCCTCTCCACTATTTGCCACTGATATATAAACTTAGTCTGACCAAGTGAATTACTCAATATGGGAACACTAATTGAAGCAGACTTGTCAACATTTTTCTGAAAAAAAAATCATTGATAAATTGTTCTAGCAAGAACTTTCATCAAATATAGGCTGGTGATTGGCAAGAATCACAGGGTTTGGCTTTTGGTAGAGCATAGTTTTGTTTTTATCAATGAGAGTTGAACATGTTTGTACAGGAAGGCCTAGTACCAAGGGACAGACTGAAGATACCTTATGATTCTAGACAAGTATGGGGAGAAGGAAATCAAGTTACACATGTAAGGGCTTGCTTTAGATAGAAGTGAAGAGATGTAAAAAAACAAAAACAAAAACAAATACAAAATAAAGGTGGCTGACAATGAAGAGAAATTATAAGTGGAACAAAATGGCAGACTAGATAATTCATAATTCACAATTCCTCTCCAAAGAGAACAAACATGCAAGCTACATGAAATATAAAAATTGTCTTTCTGAGGCATCAGACTGTTAACACAAAAGTGAAGTATTAGCATGCCAGGAGCTGGGGGAAATGGAGGCCCAGGAGCCTAAAGTGGCTCTTCCTCTGGGATGTTAGTCAACTCCTGATCAGGCAGCAGAGAGTCTGGTAGGCTGAAAAGCACTTTTGAGAGCATATCATATATGTAAACGTTCAAGGAATTAGTGTCCAGGGACTGCCAAGTCAAGTGTCCCAGGAAAACTCATATCTTTGGGATGGGATCCTGAAGGACTGCAATATGAGAAAAAAAAATTAACCAGAAATATTCAGACCTTTGTAGGCAATGTTGCTCACCTTCAAATGATTTCAATTCATGAAACTGGATTAATCTCAGGGTGGTAGTAGTACTCCCAGGCTCCTGAAAAGTAAAGTAAATCTTCCCTAGAGAAAGATAATATCATTCTAAGCAAATTATTTCACAACTTATTTTTCAAATACACTAACTATTAAGCAAAAATAACTAAATAAAAAGAAAAGATTACAGGAATAAAAAAACAGAACAATGGACAATAGAAACAAACTCATAAGATATCTAGACATTGATGTTATCAGACATAGACTTTAAAATAATTATGCTCAATATGTTCAAGGATATAAAAGGCAAGATTGAGAATTAGAGGAAACTAAAAGCCATGGGAAAGAATCAAACAAAAATCCTAGAACTAAAAAAGTATAATAACCAAATTTAAGAAGTCATGGATGGCTTCACAGCACATTAGATAAAACTGAAGTAAATTTTATGTTCAAAATATATATGAAATGAAGCATGGAAGAATAAAGGATAGAAAAAAAGGGTAAGAGAGAGAAATTATAAGAATGAGAAAGTCTTATATACATGTAATTGGAATCCTAGAACAAGAGGAGAAAGAATGGGAAAGATAGAATATCTGAAGAGGTAAATTTTTCCAAAACTAATTAAATACATAAAGATACTGATTCAGGAAGCCCTTAAAAACCCAAACTATGAGAAATATAAAGAAATCTACACCTCAGTGTACCATAATAAAATTGCCAAAAACCAAAGCAAAAAGAAACATATTGCAAGAAGCCAGAAAATAAGAAACAGATTACTGTCAAAGGAGCAACAATGAGACTTACCACAGACTTCTCAACAGAAAAGATGAAAGCTAGAAGTTAATGGAACACCTTAACATGCTAAAAAGTAAATGTCAACCTAGAATTTTCTGCTCAACAAAAATATGCTTCAAGAGTGATGAACTAAAGATAGTCAGACCCAAAGTAAGAATATTTGTCACTCACATGAAAAGAAACATTAAAGACTTCTCTTCAAGTCTGAAGAAAATAGTTCTAGGTAGAGAGGAATGCAAGAAGGAAAGAAATGCATAAGAAATAATAAATAAATATGTTGATGGACAGTGACTGCACAGGAAGGGGTGAGGACTTGATAATATGGGTAAATGTTGAACCACTGTGTTGTGTATTTGAAACTAACATAAGATTATGTATCAATGATACTTTAATTTTAAAAGTTAGCAAGTATATAGACAAATATAGTGACTAGATTAAATAAAGAGATTTGTTGGATTTAAAAATATATTTTGCTTAAAATGCATGACAACAATAATACAAAATTAGGGAGAGTGGTAAAAGAGTGTTCCAGAGACATCAAAATGCCTGAGAAGAACATAAAAGCATCAGTTAATATTATTGCCTAATAACAAAGGAATTTATGCTATAATCCAGGTGCCAATCAACTAGAGAATAGTAAAAGAATATGCAACTTTTCCAAAGTAATAGAGGGAGGAAATGGAATATTAAAAAATAATCTATCTAAAAGAAGCAATAAAATGAGGGAAAGAAAAAAATAGGATATAGGTAGAACAAATAGAAGGCACTGAATAGCACTGTAGATTTCAATCTAAATATATTAGGAATTATTTTAAATTTAATGTAAATAACTTGTTAAATGTAAATATACTAAATGCTCCAACTAAAAGACAAAGATTGTCAGACTAGATTAGTTTTTTAAATTATATAATGTTTACAAGAGAATCTTACAACACTTAGGTATACAGAATGGATAAAAGAAAGAGATGGAAAAATATATTCAGTGTAAACACTAATCCAAAGAAAATATGACTACCTATATTAATTATCAGACAAAATAGGATTCAAGGTGAAAACTATTACTATACATAAAGAGAGGCATTTCTAGTGATAAAAATTCCAGATATTCTAAAATTATATATACATAATACCTCAAAATATAAAAAATAAAAAATCGACATACAAGATGGTGATGTGAGTAGGGCAGCAGAAATCTCCTCCTAAAACCATATATATTTTTGAAAATACAACAAATACAACTATTCTTAAAAGCGAGACCAGAAGATTCAGGACAACAGCCAGGCTACATCTACACCTGGGAGAACCCAGCACCTCACGAAGGGTGTAAGATACAAGCCGCAGTCCCGCGGGATCTGAGTGCCACCCCTACCCCAGCTCCCCGGCAGGAGGAGAGGAATTGGAGCGGGGAGGGAGAGGGGACCCAGGGCTGCTAAATACCCAGCCCTAGTCATCTGCACCAGGAGCATAGACACACAGTGCGTGGTGTTCTGGATACTAGGGAAACAGAATAGTAAAATGTGCAAGCAGATTACCACAGCCAGCGCCCCTGTGACAAAAAAAAACCGAGTGCTTTTTGAAAGTATTAAAGGGACAGGAGCCTCACAGCTGGATGGAAGCATCCCGGCACACTCAGCCCAGAAGCTGGGAATCCTGGGGAACTCCGGGTGCCCTAACCCTCTGGGTGGCAGTGCAGCTCTGAGGCCCCTCACAGTGATAAACAGCCTCCCACCCATTTCCCCTCTGGTGCAGCCCTGCCAGAACAAAGCAGGAGCCTGAGATTGACCATGCTTCCTCCACAGCTGCCTGGGCAAGAATCAGAGAAACCCATCTGTGCACAGCTGCCCAGCAGAAGCCGCTAGGGGTCACCGTTCTCCCAGGAGAGGAAGGCAAGGAGCAAGCGGGGACTCTGTTCTCCCAGCTGACACATGTGCCAACTGCCCACGACTACCTCTATCGCCATGAAAAGGCAGAAGAATTTGATCCAGACCAGAATCACACAGACATCCTCCCCTGAGAGGGAACCTGGGGAGATAGACTTAACCAATCATCCAGAAAAAGAATTCAAAATAAAGGTCATAATCATGCTGATGGACTTACAGAGAAATATGCAAGAGCTAAGCAGGGAGAATACAGAAATAAAACAATCTCTGGAAGGACTTAAGAACAGACTGGGCGAGGTGCAAGAGGCCATTAATGGAATAGAAATCAGACAACAGGAACACAGAGAAGCTGACACAGAGAGAGATAAAAGGATCTACAGAAATGAAAAAATATTAACTGTGTGACCAATCCAAAAGGAACAATATCTGCATTATAGGGGTAACAAAAGAAGAAGAGAGAGAAAAAAGGATATAAAGTGTAGTTGAAGAAATAATTGCTGAAAACTTCCCCAAACTGGGGGAGGAAATAGTTGTTCAAACAACGGAAGCACACAGAACTCCCAACACAAGGAACCCAAGGAGGACAACACCAAGACACATAATAATTAAAATGGCAAAGATCAAGGATAAGGACAGAGTATTAAAGGCAGTCAGAGAGAGAGAAAAGATCACCTACAATGGAAAACCCATCAGGCTATCATCAGACTTCTCAACAGAAACCTTACAGGCCAGAAGAGAATGGCATGATATATTTAATGCAATGAAACAGAAGGGCCTTGAACCAAGAATACTGTATCTAGAACAATTATCATTTAAATATGAAGGAGGGATTAAACAATTCCCAGAAAAGCAAAAGTTGAGGGAATTTGCTTCCCACAAACCACCTCTACAGGATATCTTAAAGGGACTGCTCTAGATGGAAGCACTCCTAAGGCCAAATAGATGTCACCAGAAAAAAATGAAATCACAGCAAAGAAAGCAGAACAATCAAATACTAACTAAAGGTAAAAAACAAAATCAACAACCCACGAAAGCAGTCAAAAGAAACACAAAAGAGAACAAAATAAAACACCTAACATATAAAGAATGGAGGAGGAGGAATAAGAAGGGAGAGAAATAAACAATCATCAGACTGTGTTTATAATAACTCAATAGGCAAGTTAAGTTAGACAGTAAGATAGTAAAGCAGCTAACCTTGAACCTTTGGTAACCATGCACCTAAAGCCTGCAATGGCAAAAAGTGCATATCTTTCAATAATCACCCTAAATGTAAATGGACTGAATGCACCAATCAAAAGACACAGAGTAATAGAATGTATAAAAAAGCAAGACCCGTCTATACGCTGCTTACAAGAGACTCACCTCAAACCCAAAGACATGCACAGACTAAAAGTCAAGGGATGGAAAAGATATTTCATGCAAACAGGGAGATAAAAGCAGGTGTTGCAGTACTAGTATCAGACAAAATAGACTTCAAAACAAAGAAAGTCACAAGAGATAAAGAAGGACATTACATAATGATAAAGGGCTCAGTCCAACCAGAGGATATAACCATTATAAATATATATGCACCCAATACAGGAGCACCAACATATTTCACATATTTCAATACTAACAAAATTAAAGGAAGAAATAGAATGCAATGCATTTATACTAGGAGACTTCAACACACCACTCACTCCAAAGAACAGATTCACCAGACAGAAAATAAGTAAGGACACAGAAGCACTGAATGACACACTAGAACAGATGGACCTAATAGATATCTATAGAACTCTTCACTCAAAAGCAACAGGATACACATTCTTCTCAAGTGCACATGGAACATTCTCAAAATAGACCACATACTAGGCCACAAAAAGAGCTTCAGTAAATTCAAAAAGATTGAAATTCTACCAACCAACTTCTCAGACCACAAAGGTATAAAACTAGAAATAAATCATACAAAGAAAAAGGCTCACAAACACATGGAGGCTTAACAAAACATGGAGGCTCACAAACACATGGAGGCTTAACAACATGCTCCTAAATAAACAATGGATCAATAACCAAATCAAAATAGAGATCAAGCAATATATGAAAACAAATGACAACAACAAAAAAAGAAGCCCCAACTTCTGTGGGATGCAGCGAAAGCAGTTTTAAGAGGAAGGTATATAGCGATCCAGGCATATTTAAAGAAGGAAGAACAATCCCAAATGAATAGTCTAAAGACACAATCATCAAAATTGAAAAAAGAAGAACAAATGAGTCCTAAAGTCAGCAGTAGGAAGGACATAACAAAGATCAGAGAAGAAACAAATCAAATTGAGAAGAACAAAACAATAGAAAAAATCAATGAAACCAAGAGCTGGCTCTTTGAGAAAATAAACAAAATAGGTAAGTCCCTAGCCAGACTTATTAAGAGAAAAA